TTAGAAAATGTCTTTAATTCTTTGAGGAACAGGTGTGAAAAGTGCTTGGAACAAGGAGGGGGACACTTTCAGCAGCTGCTTTAATTTATTGTTATAACAAGGAGGGGGACACTTTCCGCAGCTCCTTTAATTGTTTGTTATTGTTATCACGATTATTCTTTAAAATAAAGTTATATAGTCATTAACGTTATTGAAACTGACAGCTGCTATACAGCTCGTTGAGAAATGAGGTTAAGTTGGTCGCTATAAGCTACTCCCTACGTTCAATGTGTTAGAGCCAACTTCGACCACGTTTTTATTTGAACGCTCGTTATTACCTGAATCACACCAAATTGCTGCACTGCACTGCTAAGCCATTTCTTGACAACTGAATTTATGACCAGGTCGTCCAGTGCATCTTTGTTTGTGCAGCGTTTGGCCGCGCGCTCATTCTTCAACTGGGCTACCAGTAATGGCAAAAATATATCTGGTATTAATGATATTAGACTTCCTTCAAATCGCTCATTTAGTACATTTTTTTTATTCATATTCAGATTTTTTTTCAACAATTTCTCCCTCAAAATGTGACGTCATACCACGCGATAGGAAACACGGAATCAAACAATTTTATATGACGGACCCTAATTTTTTTTCTCCAGTAGAGTACGTCAGAGAGGTTTGGCCAAACTTATCACTGTATAAGCCTAAGCGTCACGGACCGTATCCGCGTAAATATTAAAAAATAAATTAATTGCCACGTTTCTATATGGAACCAGAGTTTCATCTTGGAAATTCTTGACCCTAAATTAATTTTCTTGCGACTTCATGCAAATTCGTCATTGTATTTTGTGAGGAATTGCGGGGGCCCGTACGCTTTTCTCTTCGGTAGTTCATTAAATAATTCCCTTTATAATTCAGTCCTCCTAGGACGGATACTTTGCGATATTATTCCGAAAATATAGACAGACCTGGCAAATCCCCATGTCAAAAGCGACATAGAGGCTCGGTGTGAAATCTTTTAACCCGCTTAAAAGATTGTCGTCGCGCTCACTACAGAAATCGGTTATAATTACATTTCACCCAGAATGATCTGCTAGTCGTGGAACGAAATGCGACTAGTAATACGGATATAATAACGGTCATAAGTAAAGCACGAAAAGCGGTACACATGGTTCATCTTTGACGTCAGTAACCGCGTAGGCCGAGAAAATGTTTTTATAACGTGTCTATATTCACACGTGCTGAGACACCTTATATATTATTATTCTAGACAGTAGAATCTTACAACGTGCAGTGATTGATGACGAAAAATGTTGGCTCTAAAAAATTGCGAAACCCCGTTTCATTACTCTTCTAGTTTTCACTGTTACCATCAGTTTATTTTTTTTTAATTTACGAAAAGCGCGTAGAGCACACGACATAAGAAGGAAGGACGAGTTCTAGGACTGCTTTCGCAGGCGAATATCCTCCCACCTGCATTTTAACTTCGATTGTTTCAGAGCCTGGCCATAAATCAACAGGGCGTGATTCGGGAGCGCGACGAGTTTATCCTGAGCTGCGTGGCCAGGGGATCGCCCACCATGACATTCCGCTGGTTCAAGGACGGCGTCTTCGTCAACGTCACATCAACCAGGTAATCGATTACGATACTTATAACTATTTCTGAGGGTATTAAAAATATTGTAAATGGAGTTATTTTAAGTTCGGGATGTGGGAGAGTTTTTTAGAGGGTAATTCAATCTTTATTTAAAGGTGTATCCATACTTAGACCAGTTAAATAGGCCTCTTGCAGAAAAAAATATTTTAGTAGTTTTTGTATCTACACTGAATACTACAAACAATTTGTAAAGGTTTTGTTATATTAATTTATTTTTAAGAAGTTATTAGATATTAAAGTTTTAATCGGTTCGCTTCGCGCGTGGTGATGTAAATTGTAAAATGACAAAATGTTACTTACATAAATTACTGTAAAATTACCGTAATATTACGCACCGCGAGATAACGGATGTAATTTATGTAATTTTTGTAACTTACGTAAATTACGTAATTTACTGTAATTAATGTTAATTTACACTTAATTTTAAATATCGCGCCAATTTCAATTTTGACATTTAAGGTTTTATAACCTTTCTTTTATATTAGCAATATTAGCATTCATTCTGAAAAGTATGGTGATAGTGAGGATGAGGACCAGGATTATACAAGCTCTAATAGCTGTTTTACATTGACAATTTATTCATGAATAAATTAACGAAGTTCTCCATGAATTAATTCACGAATTTATTGGTAAATAGTGTGGTTTTACACTGCTACAGACTTTGTCAAGTTTTTTGACGCATAAATCAGTTCTACCAACAAATAAACTTCAAAAACATCACCGTTCCACTCATAATTGTAGTGACACAACAGCGGTACCGTTTTGCATATCAATAAACATTAATTTTTGTAAGTAACAAATCAGTAAAAATAATGCAAAACTAGTACGACGCCACACAATTATTTACATATTCCAATAACATAACCTCATTACTGATCTGAGGCAGGAAATCTGTTGGATTGGTACTTCCGAACTTCACAAAGAAATTGACGAAAATTAGAGTATGTTCTAATTTGCCAAGAACTTGATGAATAAATTCATGAAGTTATTTGACAGTAGACAAGAAATTCCACAAGTGTAGTGCACCAAGCATTACACTTGTCCAATTTCTTGATGAAGCGACTTCATAAATTAATTCATCAATAAATTGTCAATGTAAAACAGCTATAAGAATAAGGTATTACCTGAAACAAATGAAGGATTTGAGGCAAAATGTTTCACTTGAAAAGGTTTGTTTTTCGTTGTTGCATTTTTCGTTCATAATTTTGACTAAAATTTAGGTTGACCATGCAAACTCGAACTGACAGAAATAAATTGAATGAAAGAGGTACAAAAGAAAACAGAAATAAACGATGAAGAATTAAAAACTGTTAATTGTAATACATTCTACCAAAAAAGGCCTATGTCCCAGAAAAACAAATGCTTAAAGAAACGAAAGCTGTTTTAAATAGAAACCTAAATATTTGTATTTAGATTTGATTTATTTTATTTTTATTGCTGCACTGCACTTATATGAATGTTACTTATATGAATAAAAATTTAAATTTTTTGCATAAAAATCGACAAATATTATTTTTTAATTATTGAATTGCATGACTAGTTTTATAGAAGCTGAGTACTGAGAAGCTAAACAAGCTGAGTACACTTTAAAATGTCGTAAAATTTAAATGTCATAAATTACATAAATTACAAGCTAATTTGTAAATTACATGAAATGTTACCTGTATAATTACATTTTCATAAATTACAAGTAATTTAACATCACTATTCGCGCGCAAACGCCATGGACTGGGATGTCGATACGTTGACGTCATCGGTAAGTAAATGGCAAGCGTGACATATACAATAACGCGTTTCGCCAGTGCAGCTGACTGCTTTGGTTAAATGTGTGGAGTGGTGTCAATAAGCAGTACGATACCTTATATATACTGTAAATTTGTGAACTTAAACTTATAATAACTATGGCAATTCGAGATATGAAACGCGCATAAAAAAAAGGTGGGCTTAACTTTTGACGGCACAATATGTTAAAAAAATCGAAAAATGTCATATTTTTCTTCCTATTTAATTATGTATCTTTTCAAGAGTTCATTTTAGGCGAAAATGGAAGAGGAAAAAAAATGTTTGTAATTAAATTTTACAAAATATGACTAGTTACAAATCGAATGAATCATGATTATTATTGTAAAAATCGAAAAAATCGGCAAAAACTGGGTTAAAAAATATTTGTTTTTAGGGATTTTTTTTTAGGTCTTTAAGTTGGGTATAGGACCTTCATACTTGGCTGAAGAAAACTTCATGTTATGTAGAATCATCACACCAAATTTCATCAAAATCGGTTCGATAGATTTTGCAACCCCGATTTTGAAAAAAATTTTGCAAATTTTCAAAATTTTGCACAGCAAAAACCAAGGCCCTTAGATACTTGAAAATTGAATTACTTATAGAAGGACTCTCAAGCTTTCAAACACTTTGAAAAATTTGAATCCGTAATTAGGAGAGCATAGAAAAATTTTCAATTCTAGTGGTATTCGAAAACCAAAAAGCCAAAAATCTCCGTGGATATACGATTCACCCAAACCAAAACAGATATTGCCTAGTCTAATACTATTACTGGTACATTATACCGATGTGTGAAAATACATCAGTAAAAACGCCAGAAAAAAATGTATTTTAAAATAAATTTTATTAGATATCTATAAATCACATTTTCATACCTGTTTGCCTTTATGTCCCTTATTTCTACCGAATAAAATAAAATGCTTTTCAAAAAATCTCCGCAATCATGGAATTCGGTAAATTGTCTGATTGGGCTTTAGCACAACCTTGTTCGGTCACGTTATAAATATTCTTAAGAATTTTTAAAAAACTAAAAACTAATTATGATTATTTAAAATAACAAATTTAGATTCAAAATATTATTTAGGTAGTAAATAATATGTCCAAATCATCTCTAAATTTCAACGTACGATTTTGTCAATTTTCGAGTAGAATTTTTCACAAAAGATTTTATAATTATTAATTTTAAATAAGGCCATATTTAAATATGTGAAATAAAAAATCCGGCATGTGCAAGAGGCCTATTGTCGAAAATAGGCTCCTTTTTGCCAAAATTTAGTTCAGTAAACAGACACGCATAAAATTAGAAAAAAATCCGTACAATTGAATTAACTACTTTAGCCCGGTTGAATAGTACTGCTTCATTGTCAAAATGGCATCCAAAGTTCTGAAAAAACAATTTTCTTTTTCATTTAAAATTGTGGGTCGCACAAATAAACAATACAGGGTGGACCAGATTCAGCTTGATCCTCCACAAAACAGTTAAAGGGAAATAAACCATGTTCGTTCCCCATCACCCTGTATGCCGCCCCCACAGCGTCGACTTGTCGATAGGCCGTAAATANTGACAGCTGCTATACAGCTCGTTGAGAAATGAGGTTAAGTTGGTCGCTATAAGCTACTCCCTACGTTCAATGTGTTAGAGCCAACTTCGACCACGTTTTTATTTGAACGCTCGTTATTACCTGAATCACACCAAATTGCTGCACTGCACTGCTAAGCCATTTCTTGACAACTGAATTTATGACCAGGTCGTCCAGTGCATCTTTGTTTGTGCAGCGTTTGGCCGCGCGCTCATTCTTCAACTGGGCTACCAGTAATGGCAAAAATATATCTGGTATTAATGATATTAGACTTCCTTCAAATCGCTCATTTAGTACATTTTTTTTATTCATATTCAGATTTTTTTTCAACAATTTCTCCCTCAAAATGTGACGTCATACCACGCGATAGGAAACACGGAATCAAACAATTTTATATGACGGACCCTAATTTTTTTTCTCCAGTAGAGTACGTCAGAGAGGTTTGGCCAAACTTATCACTGTATAAGCCTAAGCGTCACGGACCGTATCCGCGTAAATATTAAAAAATAAATTAATTGCCACGTTTCTATATGGAACCAGAGTTTCATCTTGGAAATTCTTGACCCTAAATTAATTTTCTTGCGACTTCATGCAAATTCGTCATTGTATTTTGTGAGGAATTGCGGGGGCCCGTACGCTTTTCTCTTCGGTAGTTCATTAAATAATTCCCTTTATAATTCAGTCCTCCTAGGACGGATACTTTGCGATATTATTCCGAAAATATAGACAGACCTGGCAAATCCCCATGTCAAAAGCGACATAGAGGCTCGGTGTGAAATCTTTTAACCCGCTTAAAAGATTGTCATCGCGCTCACTACAGAAATCGGTTATAATTACATTTCACCCAGAATGATCTGCTAGTCGTGGAACGAAATGCGACTAGTAATACGGATATAATAACGGTCATAAGTAAAGCACGAAAAGCGGTACACATGGTTCATCTTTGACGTCAGTAACCGCGTAGGCCGAGAAAATGTTTTTATAACGTGTCTATATTCACACGTGCTGAGACACCTTATATATTATTATTCTACACAGTAGAATCTTACAACGTGCAGTGATTGATGACGAAAAATGTTGGCTCTAAAAAATTGCGAAACCCCGTTTCATTACTCTTCTAGTTTTCACTGTTACCATCAGTTTATTTTTTTTTAATTTACGAAAAGCGCGTAGAGCACACGACATAAGAAGGAAGGACGAGTTCTAGGACTGCTTTCGCAGGCGAATATCCTCCCACCTGCATTTTAACTTCGATTGTTTCAGAGCCTGGCCATAAATCAACAGGGCGTGATTCGGGAGCGCGACGAGTTTATCCTGAGCTGCGTGGCCAGAGGATCGCCCACCATGACATTCCGCTGGTTCAAGGACGGCGTCTTCGTCAACGTCACATCAACCAGGTAATCGATTACGATACTTATAACTATTTCTGAGGGTATTAAAAATATTGTAAATGGAGTTATTTTAAGTTCGGGATGTGGGAGAGTTTTTTAGAGGGTAATTCAATCTTTATTTAACTTAGGCCGGTCAAATTGTTCAGTTGTTAGAGCTTCATTGTCAAAATGGTGTTCAAAGTTCACAAAAAAAAAACAGTTTTTTTCATTTTAAAATATGGGTCGCACAAATAAACTATACTGGGTGGACCAGATTCAACTTCATTCTCTACAAAACAGTTAAAGGGAAATAAACCGTGTTCGTTCCCCATCACCCTGTATGCCGCCCCCACAGCGTCGACTTGTCGATAGGCCGTAAATAAACCTTTATAAGAACCCCCTCAATTTGTTTGTGCCGGGAGTAATGACGGTCGTTTGTAGCCGCAAGTGGATAAAGCTTATCAAAGATCCCCACATCGCCGACCAGTACACGGCCCTGTTGGCGGTCCAGAGCGCCCACGGCTACGACGAGGGTACCTTCACCTGCCAAGTGGAAGACTTCAACATACAACAGTGTCTCTCCAAGCAGGTCAAAGTGGGCCGCCGGCCCTTTGTCAGGGTCGAACCGATGAGTCTCACCGTCAGAAAGGTAAATTGCTTTTTCTTACGCCGAACACTTTTTTAATTCTATTATCACGTCTCATCAGCACCGAGAAAGAGAAACAAGCGCAAAGAGAACCTCCGATATTCCTAAAAAAAACATAGAAGACTTTACACGCAAGAAGGAAACACATTTTTAGAATGTCCCAATAAAAGTAAAACTTCCTCTCAGCCTCCCCTTAATCTCTCAAGTACCTAAACATCCGAGACTAATATGAAATGGATTGTTTTCTTTATCGACGGAATATTGTTAACCCCCCTCCGGCGTTGTCGCTTTTTTTTTCAATTTAAGGGTGCGCGTAAAAGCTGAAACGAAACTTTATAAATCGTAATTGACTTTCGGAGCGGCGTTAGCGACTCTGCCGTAAAAATAAAGTCGTCCGGGTAAACGAACAAAAGGCGCCTCGAAGTCGTTAAAATTTCCATAAATATTCAGATGCATTATGCAGTCGATGACGTTGTCTCAGGGTGGGTCGGCGACTTATTAGAGACATTTTTCAGGATTCTCGATTATCATGAGGGTCTTAGTTTATTAATCCTGAATATGCTAAATTGTAGCGGTGGTTTAAATTTGTCGGAGATGTTTTTCTTAATACTCGTTTAACTTGAAATATACACGGTATTTCCGAAAGAACAAGGTAGTCCATTTTGGAGATTAATCTTTACCTATTTAAAATATGTTCTATTGCACTCTTAAAAGAGTAGAACTTTGTAAATGTTCATCAAGAAACAAAACATAAATTTATTCGTAAAATACTGAAATACATTTAACGCGTTCTCCTAAAAAATCCGCAACATTATCAATAATCGTTAGGAAAAAAAGGAAAATTATTATCAAGATGCGATATACCATTTAAAAATACTGCAGTTTGAAGTGCTCAGGCAGCGCCGAGAAAAAAAACACCACTCCCGCTACCGACATCATCGAGTCTGAAAAGGTAGCGCATAATTTTTTATCTCACGCCTCATCGCGAGGCAAAGAATCCGGAAGATTGCGGTAAGCCCCAAATGGGGGGAATATAATTCTAAATAATGCTTATCAGGGCTTTATACTTGTATCTCACGCTCTTTTTTTCTCTCTACTGGGGTCGTCCTGCCAGGAGAAATATAAATCAATCAAAATCACGGCTTTTCCCCCCCTTAAATGTTTTTTATGTCGCATCAAACGCCTCAGGGCATTTATAGATTACTTATTAGGGCGGCGTTTCTCTTTCATTTGGAACCCGTCAGAGACGTAAAAGTACAGTCTCGATTTTTACAGCAACAAAATGTTTTCGAATCTCTTGTATGGTTCTCGAACCTGGAAAAGCAATATTTTAGATTGATGTGTATTTGTTGACATATGAAACGTATCCGCCAAAACAGAATTTATAATATGTATTTAAATTATTATCGTATCCCTAAATTCCGCAAACGATATAGATTTGTTTTCCCACAATCCTTTAAAATTTTACAATTTAATGTAAAAACATGCGGTCGCAAAGTTACGCGAGGGTTAAAAATAATTAGATTATCCCTTGGAACTGACATCAACTTTGGGTAACTTGCAGGGGGAAAACTTCACCATCAAGTGTGTAACTTTAGAGGAAAGTGGAGGGGTGGGTGGCAAGTACACTTACAGCTGGACTAAAAACAAGGAATTGTTGCCCGTAAGGACCGATTTGGAGAAATACGAGGTGCTGTACCCCTACGGTACCATTCTCCAGGTGTTCAGCGCCGAGGTAAATATTATTCAGTCTCTTCTCGATGATTGGTATTAGCCCGCACTAGCTTTATCTCTCTCGCACACGTCTGTGCGATTGTCGCTTATTTTGGCAAAATGACAGGGCAGTCCAGTAGTTTATAAGGTCTATGGATATGTCAGACTGTTGTTCGTGAAAATAACGACCGTTCATTCATAAACAAAAGGCTTTTATTCGCGAGTGAAGTCGTTTGTTGTAGTATGTATAGTATGAGTGAAATTTAAACTACCATATGACAACTAAGATCAAAAGAGAAATTTGCAATCAACTGAACTAAATATCCAACAAATGCGAAAAAGGACTGAAAATATGTATCTTATTCATTCATTATTCAATATAATTTAGTAAATAAGGAAATGTTGAACAAAACATAAAAAGAGCAATGTAAAAATTAATTTACTTAAATATTTCTCAAAAAAAAATTACATTACATTTGGAAACATGCAAAAATCAAAATATTTACTTTGTTTTTACTTTCCTGTCTTTATGCCCAGCGCTGTGAAAAACCTTATAACATTTCTTCACTGATTTAAAAAGATGTATTTCTGTTTTTGTACCGTGTTTTGCGCCATTTTTCATGTTTTACCTTTTAATTTAGAAAGACGTGCAATATTCCTGCCTCGTCCAGGACGAGACCACCTCCTCGGAACAAGGCGTGCCTGTCTACGTGGTGGACAGGGAGGGCGTCTACACCTGTCCCGCGGAAAAATTCCTGGGTATGTTTTGGCCCGAAACGGCGCCCGACACCAACAGCATTTTGGACTGCCCCAAGGGATACTCCGGTGCGGCCAAGCGGTACTGCTCCTTGAGGGACGGCCGGAAACCGGCGTGGACGTTGCCCAGCTTCTCGGAGTGCACGCATCGCGACCTGGAGCACGCCTTCATAAAGGTAAAAAAAAAGAAAAAACCAAAAACTGTACGATATAAAATCAAACTGATTAAATCTCAAACTAATTCAGTAACTAATTCAGTTCAATCAATAATTCAGTTAAAACAAACTGATAAAATAACTAGATTAAATCTATTTTAAGGCTTTTACTTCGCTTTTAATTTTTCAGGGCCCATATTCTTTTAATAATATCAGTATTTAGGGAACGAGAACTTGATAGGTACTTGATGGACTCGAAATTTCGAGATAGAACTTGAAATTTCAAATTTGAGGTGTGAAATTTCGAGTTTGAAATATAGAATTTCAATTTCGAAGTGAAAAGCCATTTTTCCACCTGTTTTGGAGACTTTGACAGAGTCGACAGGGAAATTCCTAAACATATTCTAAAAATATCCAAATACTCGTCATGTAAAATGAAAATGAGCATCACTTTCAGTTTTTCGAAAATTATCGAAAATCACCCTTATTTAGGGGGTTGAAAAGACAAAAAAATTGAACAAATTAAGAATCATCAACAGTTGTAAAACCCCAAATATTTCTTTATCAAAATAATATTATGAACGTGAAAATATCTAATTTCGTATTTGATAAGGTCTTGTCCGGATTGAAAATCAGCCCTTGATGTCCCTAAAAGGGTGAAATCATCCCCTAAACGCCTAAAAATGCAAAAAATATATTAAAAGTTACAATTTTTTTCTTTTTCTTTTATATGTATATGATTGAACTTATGAGTGGTTGTAACCTCATTTAAGGGTATTTTCCTTCGGATCTAGTAATTGTGAGTTATTAACGGTTCAATTATCACATATAAAAGAAAAAGAAAAAAAATTGTAACAATATATTTTTTGCATTTTTAGGCATTTAGGGGATGATTTCACCCCTTTAGGGATATTAAGGGTTGATTTTCAATCCGGACAAGACCATATCTAATACGAAATTAGATATTTTCACGTTCATAATATTACCTAATAATATCTCTACTCCTCATTCTAACCACGAGAATTAGTCCAAAAGTCGGAGACTTATGCGGGAGAGGAGGCGGCATATTATTATTAAACACGCCGCATTTGCGCCCAGGAACGACTTATGTTGGTAGGCCCTAACCACCATTCAGTGCAGGAATGAGGGAATCCTGGAAAACTTTAATATTATTTTGGTAACAACATAGAAATATTTGGGGTTTTACAACTGTTGATGATTCTTAATTTGTTCACTTTTTTTGTCTTTTCAACCCCTAAATAAGGGTGATTTTTGATAATTTTCGAAAAACTGAAAGTGATGCTCATTTTTGACGAGTATTTGGATATTTTTAGAATATTTTTTACGATTTTTCCTGTCGCCTCTATCAAAGTCTCAAAAACAGGCAGATTTTGCAGTCACCTTTCGAGATTGATATTGAAATTTCGAGTTTAACTTGAAATTTCAACTTTAAAATTCAAAAATTCTTTCAATCACAAAAATTACAATTTTGATCACAAAAAATGTCAAGTTCACATTCGGAACATCAAGTTCAATCCCAAAATTTCAGGTACAATTAGAATTTTTAAGTTTTAAACCAAATTTGGTGGTGGTTTTGTACACATAAAATTTCTACTTTAACCGAAATTTTGAATTTTAACTCACTCAAAAATTCATATTTTAAATTTGAAATTTCCTATTTTATTCGAAATTTCCTATTTCATACTCGAAGCTTTAAGTTTAATCTCAAAATTACGAGTTGAAATTGCGCTGATTTTATAATTTTAATGCCTCTTGCAATTTGTACTTACTTCTGATTTAGTCTTTTTGCATATTGATTGTAAAATTTTATTAAAAAAAATTATAAATTTCGGAAATTTTAATGTTTAAAAACATCCCACCAAGCCCATTAATTGTGTTCATTGATCATTGCATTTTTTTTTTCAGTTTAAAGAGCTTACCCTGGGCTACACCATCACAACACCGGAAGACGTCTTGCAGAGTTTTCTAAACTATTTAACGAAAAATAAATCTCGCATCTCGCTGCCAGGTGAAGGAGCCCGAATATTATCCCTGACCCGAGAAGTCGTGTTGTATTTAAAGGAAACTAAAGCCCTACACAGGCCTATAAACAACATCACGGATTCGGTCCTCGGCATTGTAGATCGCATTCTCTTGTCTCACAACTCGCTGACGAAACCATCGGTAAGTGCTCTGTTATATCCAATTTGATGCATTTTTGTAATCAATTCCTAAATTGTAACGTAGTTTTCGCCCAATTTTTTTTGCCTGCAATGCCGGGGTGGCATTCTGATGACATTCACCGTAAACCAATAACGTTATTGTTATTACTGTTGTAAACGAAGTCATTCGACCAAAAATCACAGTCAAAATCCATGGTAGAATTGACACTAAAACACAAGACAACAACAACAAAACACATTCACAAAAGTAGGGATAAGCATTAGATTTCTGTACCGTTTGTTTTGAAAAATATGACTGTGGACCCTTTCCATATTAGTTTTTTAACAAAACGCAGTCGTTTCCTAAGCAAATCTGTATTTTAGGAAGTAAGATCGCTGTTGGACCTAATAAGCGAGCACCTCACAACGACCGCTTCCGCTCTTATCGCCCGAAATGGCACCGAAACGTACCACATCAACCGCAACACCGTCGATCTGACCATCCTTAACATAACCTACAGCTCAGACGATTACTTCCACATACCCAGCCACACGCCAGACGTTCAAAAGGAGTAAGACCGATTCGACTTACGTATAAACGGGGCAATGTAACGTTTCTGTTTTTAGGTATAAAAATTGGATCAACGTACAATTTTCTGGGACTAACAACATAATATCGCCCATACACAAGCCTAGGATCATAGCCGGGATAATATTTAGGAACTTATCCTTGTTCCTACCACCGAGGTCGTTTCTAAGAATTAAGTAAGATCCCCGTGACCTGACCGTTTGTTGTGGTCGTAACTTGACGTGATTTTTTAGAGACGGGTCCGAGCTGGAGTACGAATTGCACTCCCAGATCGTATCTGTACTGCCGTTGCCGGAAAACTTCGATATCTACCCGATAGCCATCGATTTCAAACACGAGTTGAGCAACAACTTGAACTGGAGCAACGAAGACGCCTGGAGCGTGAAGTGCGCCTACGCCGACCCCTCCACCTTCACCTACACGTGGGACATCTACAGCTGCTACACCGAGACCCTAAACGACATGAAAACTAGATGTATGTGTCCCAAAGCGGGGATATTCGCTCTCCTGTTGACGATGACCCCGCCTAAGGTAAGTTTATCGGTATCGAAACGTTTGAAGTGATAAATCTCGTTTCTTTTTCAGCCCGTAAGTGAAGAAAATAACCCTCGTCGTTACATCTTGATAATCGGTTGTTCCCTGTGTATGTTACTTGCTCTGTTCACGACGGCTTGCCTCGCCACTTCTTGTTGGATGGCGAGGAGGTCTTGTCTGGTCGCTCTCAAGTTGCAGTGTTCCGTTTCCGTGTTCGTGATCGGGCTGCTGTTCACGCTGGCCGCTGTTACTGGACCGCCACAGGTGAGTCGCGATAAAATTTTAATTTTTCGATTAAATTTTAACTTTTGTGCGATACTTAGAGAACTATTCGAAGTTAGGACAGAAAACACTAGATGGCGGCTCTTCCATAAAACCGCTGTCATCCTTGCACTCGCAACAAGGGAGACTGGGATTTTATAGAACAAGCGCCATCTAGTGTTTTTATTCCTAAATTTGACTGGTTGCCTGACTATATTGTAGAGGGTGGTGCCATCTAGCATTATCTTCCCTAAGTTTGGCTAAAAGTGACTCCAATGCTTACATTTTGTTGTATGCAGGACAGGGTGATTTGCAACTTAGCCAATAAACTTTGGGGATTAAATATAGAACCGTTATCGTCAACTAAATTTTAAAAAATTGTTCGATTTCAAGAAAAAAAGTTACATACTGTCACAAAAATGAAAAGATAAAAAAGTATTCTAAATTTTTAAGTGATTTTCAAAAGATGACTAGAATGTTTAAGCCGATTTGATTTGACAAAATGCCTATTTGTTATTACTGTGGTTTTCGTGATGCTCTTATTACTGTGGTTTATTGTTTACATCAATCATACAGATAGCCTATGTGTATAGCAATGTAGGATTAATAAATCGGATTATTGTCTTCATTTATAGTGAAGCATGTCAAAATGCATTAGCAGCTTCTCGCTTGTAATTAGTACGTTTTCTGGACAAACATGTACCGAAAAGTGCCTTTATCCTTTTTATAAAAAATCAAATATTTTCACAAACAAAAAAGCTGTTCCTCGGAGAAAACGCCATAATCGACAAACGTCCTGTACCTGTTAAATGAATCGGGACGTGAAAAAGGAGTTTTACCCATTCAAAATTGAAAATTAAGCTCATGACATTTGAACTACTTTTCTATATATTTTTTTATATTAATTTTTTTCACAAATTAGGTAGAAGAAAGGCCCAAAAATGTTGAATTGGATCCACTTTCCATTTTTTTTTATCAGTTGTGATTGTTGCATATTCAAGTCAAATTTTATAGACTTAAAATTGAAAAATGAATTTTTCAAGTTTATATTGTAGAGCACATGATTTGAATGTGTCAAAGTGGCAAAATTCTTTGGAGTCTAAAATATATTGTACAATATTTATTTTACTTTTAATATTCTTAATATTTTAAGAATTAAAAAAAAACAATGTTCTCTAGCAATAAGTTATGGTAGAGTTTATTTATTATTTATTTATTTATTTAATTTAATTGAATGAATAGAAACAGAAAATATGTAAAATAAAGTAGCATAATTACAATAAAACAGGAAAATGGTATAAAGACAATAAAAACGGAATAGAACATCAAAAATAGTTAAAAAAAACAAGATAACTAACAACGATGTACCAATATTACAAAATAAAGACAAAAATAAAACATGAGTTATAAGTACTTACATGTAATGTTGATATTGTAACATTCAATAATATTCTAGACACAATTTACGCAATAACTGTAACAGTTAATTTCGAAACAATATGTCGACCTCTTCTGAGTACGGAAAATAGATTATTGATCATTTTTTTCAAAAAAATAATTGACTTTCGATTTTAAATACTTAAAAAGAACTTCTTACTCGTCAAAATATTGAAAGCAGAATGAAATTACAAAAGAAAACGTGAAATGTCAATTAAAATGTATTTTTCGGGGTCTGGCGATGACTTTCACAGACTTTTGCTTATACCATTCGAAAGAATGGAAAAAATAAAGTGTTTTAAAAAAAAGGCTGCTTCTGAGTACCACAATCCATTTAAATAAGAATTTTGAGAAGCCGAGCGCAGCATGGGCACTATGACGTCACAGCACTCCCCTTTCCTGGCTACCACTTTAACGAACATTTACTTGGTCATTTGTTGGTCGAATCGATTAAAAAAAAAATTGGCATATGAAGGAAGTCTTCTAATATAGGATACGAGCCCAAGTTTATTATAAAATATTAAATAGAACAGCCAGATTACCGCTTAAAAAAAATTTTGATGGCCCCTATTGATTAGATCGAGAAGCTATTTTTTTAAATTCATGTCTTTTTAAGTACTATTTGATGTAATTGGTTTGAAATCTGTATATTAAAGAACCGCCAAGATAAGAACCATAGTTACCATTTTTTTTTTTGTTTTTTGTAAATAACTTTTATTTTGCAACTTAAAAATCTGAAATTTACACAGATGTAAGATAATGTAATTAACTTTCAATTCTTTTTTATCGAATTTCAATATCTTGACTTGGATAGAAGATATACATGCTCACATTTTCAACTTTATAATTTTGCAGTAGGTCGCCATTTTGAAATTGGGTATCCGGATTGCGGGTATTTCTTGAGCACCCAAACAGTTACCTTTTACTTTAATTTCATCCAATTTCAGTCACATTTTTTTTCACTGCTAATGTTGCAATGTAAAAAAAATTGTAGCAAATTTCCTCAGGAACAAAATTGACAGGTATACCTCCTGTCCTGATTAGAGGATTATTATTATACAGGGTGGCACAAAAGTATGGAAACCCCCGAATAACTCGTCAAGAGTGCATTTTCTTAAAAAATGATAGGTACAAAAGTTTTAGGATTTTTCCCTGGCTATTCAATGGCGTCCTTGTATTCGATCTTGACCTTGACCTTCAAGATCATTTCAAGGTCAAAATTGATTTTTCAAATGGGTACCCCTATTTTTTATTGCGTATTTGGAAAGAGCAGGAAATTTTACGTCCAAAATTGGTCTTAACCATGACTTTGACAATGACCTTTAAGGTCAAATGTGGGTCGACTTCCAAATATCCCGGTACGACAGAACTTTTGAAGAATGCATTTTGGGAATAAATGTTTCAGACAAAAGTGTAAGGATTTTTCCGTGGCTATCTGATGGTGACCTTGGATTTGACCTTGACCGTCAAGGTCATTTGAAGGTCAAATTAAGTTTTTTAAATGAGAACCCTTATCTTTTATTGCGGATGTAGAAAGAGCAAGATCATTGTCAAAATCATGGTCAATACCATTTTTGAACGTAAAATTTTCTGCTCTTTCCAAATCTGCAATAAAAAATAGAGGTTATCGTTTGAAAAAGCAATTTTGAACTTGAAATTACCTTGAAGGTCAAGGTCGAATACAAGGGTGCCATTGAATAGCCAGGGAAAAATCCTAAAACTTTTGTACTTGCACTCCTGACGAGTTATTCAGGGGTTTCCATACTTTTGTGCCACCCTGTATTAGCAAAAAACTGAAAAAAGATTTTTTTTTTTTTTTAAACAATATGACGCCCGCCCTCTACAAATACACAAATTAAGGATTTTGTTCTGTGTATTTCTTACTTAATTTTAAGCCCATAAAATTCGACTTGGGCCCGATTTTGTAAAAAAACACCTAATTCACCCGGGCTAATTTGACTAAATTCTAATCCCTTTCAGAACTATTTCATGATGTTTATAACCACCTTGGAAGCCTTCTTTCTATTGGGCATGTCCAGCCACCTCAGCAAACTCCTCGTGGTATTCACGGAACTAATACAGCTACCCAAACCGATGGCCTCGAAATACACCGTTATAGGTATAATTTCAGGTAAACGTTTCAACGATTCTCGAAAATACGCCACGGACACCTTTACCGTGGAAATTTTTAGGTGTCACCATCATCACCGTCTTCGGAAGCCACTTGGCTTACAGGACGATGGACATCAAACTGCAGTCTTGGTGGATGGTGAAGGAGACGCTGGCTTTTAATATTTTCGTTGCCGTCACGGCCGTTATATCGGTCCTGTTCGTTTTCATCTACGTTACAGTCATGAAGAAGCTGAGGGAACTGATGAGCGTACACGAGAAACACGCCAAACCGATAAAGAAAAGGTAGCGTTTTAAGAATTTTACTTTTATTTTTAATTCGGCGTAAACGTTTAATATATTTATATATTTTGTTTTACAGGGTGGCTCTGATAAAACGTTCCGGGTACTTGTTTGGGACGGTGACTCTCTTGTCGGTCAGCAGCATAATTTATATAAATAATCCCGATAAAATGTGGAGCATCTACCAGTTCAGTATATACAACGCAACGGTGGTAAGACTATTTAAAATATTTTCGACTAATTATAAGGCAAATTCTCAAATTTTTTTTTTCATTGGGATTTAATTTAGAAAACGTTTAAAATCTTTTTAATAATCGCCTACAAGTCTACTATAGGGCAGTTAGTTTATTTAAATTATTATTATTATCTTATCACTAATATTAGACCCTTCATAAATGTTTACAATCCATGTGTCTGCCAAAGTTAGGCAACCAACGTTGCTCTATTGTTGTGAAAAACTGAAAAATCCTAAAACCTTTACACAACCAATTTTAATGATTCGTTTACAATGAACAATGACAGACAGTTGTGGCTATGCTCGAGATAATGCGATCCCCGATTGGTTGAATGAAATGTGAGAAATTACACCGAACGCCATGCCAACGAGATAGAATGTTGTGTTTCAACGTAATCTTGAACTTATTGTTTTAGTAAATTTTAATTTTACCAAAATTTAATTACCACCTTGAAGGAAATAAAATTACTGGTCACATGGCTTATAATTGTATATGAAGGCTCTGTATTAAAAAAAAATAGTTTAGTTGGCCTGTGAAAAGACCAAAAAAATAAGGTGAGAACTGTTCAAGATTTTCTTCGGTCAGGCTACCAAACAAGGTACAGCTAATTTTTAAAAATAGTGATTGAAAAAAAATGTTTCTGATATTTGTTTGCCTAAATTGTAAATAAGGGCAACATAAATATCTATCAATTTATTATGTTGTTTTAATCGGTCAAAATTGAAAAGAATAACCACATTTTCTAAAAAAATATGAGTTTTATCGGCCAAACTCCAATAAAGAAAATAATGTGGTTATTAAAAAAAAAACGAAAAATGTTAGGTTTTTATTTTTTTATTTTTATTTTTTTAACAATGATGCTTTCATTTTTAACTTAAAGTCTATACATATTTTTCAATTTGAGTACAACTTTGTCAATATTATTAATATAGTAATATTAACTACAGAGTGTCATACAGGGTGTCTCATAATTAGCTGCCAACCCTGAACAGGCCGATTCTATGATCAAAACTAAGTAAAAAAGTTCATATGAACATGGGTCCGGAAATGCTTCCTAAGGGCACAGGGACCCATTGAACAGGGCGGAATGGAAATCATTTTTTTGCAATATCTCTGAATCGCGTTGTGATAAAAGAATGAAATTTGGTATACACAGCTAAATTTTGATGAGCAATTTGATGGACTAATCCATTTATTTCCACAAGGTCCATTGGGGTGGGTACGGGGGGGCCCTTGGTACTTTGCGTGTGTAACTTTTTCATCTTTGACTTTTTAACAAATTGGACAGCAAATTCCGTTTTCCCGAACTGTTTTACGTTAAAAAGGTACTCTTGTTTCAAATCGTTATCTTTAACGGTTTCTGAGAAAATCGCTCTTGAATTAATCCCACTTTGGTCAATTTCATAGTAATTTAAACAAAAAATAATAATAATAATTTTCCTTTCCTCTCTTTTCCATTTAAAGGATTAATTTTTATTTAATTTAATTTTTTATTATTATTTTTTTATTAAAATTAGATTAAATTTAAACAAAAAAATTTTTTTTGTTTAAATTACTATGAAATTGACCAAAGTGGGATTAATTCAAGAGCGATTTTCTCAGAAACCGTTAAAGATAACGATTTGAAACAAGAGTACCTTTTTAACGTAAAACAGTTCGGGAAAACGGAATTTGCTGTCCAATTTGTTAAAAAGTCAAAGATGAAAAAGTTACACACGCAAAGTACCAAGGGCCCCCCCGTACCCACCCCAATGGACCTTGTGGAAATAAATGGATTAGTCCATCAAATTGCTCATCAAAATTTAGCTGTGTATACCAAATTTCATTCATTTATCACAACGCGATTGAGAGATATTGCAAAAAAATGATTTCCATTCCTCCCTCTTCAATGGGTCCCTGTGCCCTTAGGAAGCATTTCCGGACCCATGTTCATATGAACTTTTTTACTTAGTTTTGATCATAGAATCGGCCTGTTCAGGGTTGGCAGCTAATTATGAGACACCATGTATAGCAGATAGGCAACCAACATTACATTTTTTTATAAATTTTATTACACAGTTTGTCTAAATATGAATTATTGCACAAATAACAGACTTTCTCACATTTTAACACAGATTTGCTTTAAAATGGACTTAGTTTGGACTTTTTGTTGTAAAGAAATTTGTAATTTCCCGCCTTCGAATAAGCGGCATCATATTTTACAAATTTCTGTACACCAATAATAGACCAGGGCGGATCTGTCGAAATATCCCACTTCTGGGATGTAAGAGGGGGCAAGCTAATTTTTCTTGGATTACCTTCAGTACAACTCACGTAATACAAGTGTAGATCCTTAGATCTGGGCGAAGTCCGGAACATTTTCAAAATTGCAAAAATGTTTAAAAAATTTTTAAAAATACCTACTTTATCTGAGTTTTTTACTAATATTTTGGAACTATGCATTTTGGAAGAATATTGAAGAGGAAAAAAGTTTTAGAATTGAATTTTGCACAATATACTGTAAGATAAAAATTTTTAAATTTATTACGGATGTTGCAAAATGGCAATAATTGATGAAAAAATGGCAAAATAATCCAGTTTTTTGGATAATTTTTTTGTAAATATTTTAATTGCTTCGAGGGCATTCTAATTTTAGTAAAAAAAAAACTTTAGAGTATAATAAAACAACACACCAAATCTCATTAAAATCGGTTCAATAGTTTTCGCAAAATAATTTTTTGAAAGAAATTTTGAAAAATACTTTTTGAATTTTCAAAATTTTGCACAGCCTGAAATAGAACATATTTGTTCACATAGAAAAGACCGCTCAACCTTTTTCAAATGGTTTTTGAAAAAATGAAATCGGTTGATTAGGACGGCCACAGTAAGTTAACTCTTTTTTTTTATTTTTAAACAATTAGATTACATTTATCAATTTGCAATTTAGTTTTTTTCAAAAATTATAATTATCTTGGAAAAACACTTCTTTAAAAAAAAAGTTAACAATTTAGCAATAATCTTTAATCCAGTGGCTTCGTTTTTCCGAGTTTTATGCTGGAAAAAAATTTTCATATCCATAAGTTTTGCTCGCACGCGCGGAAGGTTACTCAAAAACACGAAAAGTGGGGGAGGGGGCTTTCGCTCCGAGACTGAATTCGGAGGTTCAAAATGCGAAATGCATTATCTCGGCTTCTAATGGACCAATTTCTGTCTAATTTGCACATATTTTGTTATAAACAAAGTTTATTATTTATGCATTATATATACTGTATATGCTATTGCATTTTTTCAATGTATAAATTTGTTTACGTATATATTTTAACTCTCTGAATATGAATGTATTTAGCTATAATTATTACAATTATTTAAATAATTTTTGTTTAAACAAATTAATTTTTTTTATTTGGAAATTAATTTTTTTGTTAAATACAGATAAAATTAAGAAANGGACCCATGTTCATATGAACTTTTTTACTTAGTTTTGATCATAGAATCGGCCTGTTCAGGGTTGGCAGCTAATTATGAGACACCATGTATAGCAAATAGGCAACCAACATTACATTTTTTTATAAATTTTATTACACAGTTCGTCTAAATATGAATTATTGCACAAATAACAGACTTTCTCATGTCCATTTTAACACAGATTTGCTTTAAAATGGACTTAGTTTGGACTTTTTGTTGTAAAGAAATTTATAATTTCCCGCCTTTGAATAAGGGCATCATATTTTACAAATTTCTGTACACCAATCGGATCAGGGCGGATCTGTCGAAATATCCCACTTCTGGGATGTAAGAGGGGGCAAGCTAATTTATTTTGGATTTCCTTCAGTACAACTCACATAATAAAAGTGTAGATCCTTAGATCTGGGCGAGGTCCGGAAAATTTTCAAAATTGCAAAAATGTAAAAAATTTTAAAAATACCTACTTTATCTGAGTTTTTTACTAATATTTTGGAACCTATGCATTTTGGAAGAATATTGAAGAGGAAAAAAGTTTTAGAATTGAATTTTGCACAACATACTGTAAGTTAAAATTGTTTAAATTTATTACCGATTTTGCAAAATCCCAATAATTGATGAAAAAGAGGCAAAATATTCAAGTTTTTGGATAATTTTTTTAAAATATTTTAATTGCTCCGGGGGCATTCTAATTTTGGTAAAAAAAAAAAACTTTTAGAGTATAATAAAACAACACACCAAATCTCATTAAAATCGGTTCAATAGTTTTCGCAAAATAATTTTTTGAATGAAATGGTGGCTTCGTTTTTCCGAGTTCTATGCTGGAAAAAAAATTTCACATCCATAAGTTTTGCTCGCACGCGCGGAGGGTTACTCAAAAACACGAAAAGTGGGGGAGGGGGCTTTCGCTCCGAGACTGAATTCAGAGGTTCAAAATGCGAAGGTACGAACAAAATTGTATTATCTCGGCTTCTAATGGACCAATTTCTGTCTAATTTGCACATATTTTGTTATAAACAAAGTTTATTATTTATTTATTAAATATACTGTATATGCTATTGCATTTTTTCAATGTATTGTCCACGAACGCGGTAGTTTCGGACCCGTTTGGAGATGGTGACGTGGTTGGGGGGATCCCTAAGAATACCCAGAACACGCTGGATGCGTGCAGAAAGCGTTTCTGCACGGCCGCGGCTGCTTCTGCGGATGTCGGGTTCGGCTCGCGTTGTGGAACGATAGGTGTAGGGTTCCCCTTAATTAATAAGTAAAGGGGAACTTGTTACGAATTCTTTTTTCCCTATTTTGTGGACTGGCAGACCAGGCCGTACCACAAGCTGAGGGGAACAGCCTTAATATACCCCGAAGGGTCGCTGATACTCAGTACTACTACTATTTAAAAAAATTGGTAGCGACTACTCGTCACTAAAGGAGCGGACAATGAGAGGCTATTCGATTCAAACACTATAATACAAGTGTGAAGACCAACTCAGAGATGCTTCTCGTGGCAAGTCTCGACTGAGAGTGAGCTACCGAGGCAAAACTCGGCGATTATTTAATGAACAGCGGTCGGACTGAGGACTGAACGTCGAGTGCACCGCAGCCTGCTGTTCCAAAAGGCCCCTGACAGTAAATCACGAGGCGCAATGTTGGATTTCTTTGCGTCCCGTGACAGTATAAATTTGTTTACGTATATATTTCAACACCCTGAATATGAATGTATTTAACTATAATTATTACAATTATTTAAATAATTTTTGTTTAAACAAATTAATTTTTTTGTTAAATACAGACAAATTTAAGAAAAAATAATACTTTAAAATTATAATTTTTGAAAAAACTAAATTGCAAATTGATAAATGTAGCTAATCTTATCTTTTAAAAATAAAAAAGAAGTGTTAACTTGAAAAATTTACTGTGACCGTCTTAATCAATCGATTTCAATTTTTCAAAAGCCATTTGAAAGGTCTTTTCTATGTAAAAAAAGTTTCAAGGATCTAGATGCTTTATTTGCTATATTGCTATATTTTAAAAATTCGAAAAAAAAATTTTCAAAATTTACAAAAAAATTATTTTTCGAAAACTATCAAAGCGATTTTAATAAAATTTGGTGTGTTATTTTATTATACTCTAAAGATTTTTTTCCCCATAATTAGAATGCCCTCAGAGCAATTAAATTATTTTAAAAAAATTATCCAAAAAACTTAATTATTTTGCCTTTTTTCATCAATTATTGCTATTTTGCAACATTGTTAATAAACTTTAAACATTTTTAACTTACAGTATTATGTATTTAAATTACAGTATATTGTGCAAAATTTATTTCTAAAACTTTTTTCCTCTTAAATATTCTTCCAAAAAGCATAGGTTTCAAGATATAAGTAAAAAAGTCAAATAAAATAGGTATTTTTGCAATTTTGAAAATGTTCCCGACCTCGCCCAAATCTAGGGATCTACACTTGTATTACGTGAGTTGTACAGAAGGTAATCCAAAAAAAATTTGCTTGCCCCCTCTCACATCCACCTCAAAACAGATTCACCCTGGTCTATAAGTAATTTGAGTTTTGAACTGTTACTGTGTAATAAAATCTTTAAAAATGTATTGCTGGTTGCCTATTTGCTATAGAACACTTCTAACTTCTTAATTATTTGATGAAAGAAATAGTATTTATTGATTTTTTTTTAATATTATTAATTAATACTATTAAAATTTACCTAAAATTTTCATCTATCTATTTTTATCCAAATTGATATAAGGAAAAATATCCAACATTCAGCCGACGTATCCAGACTGTCCTTATTTGGGATTTAAACAAGCAAAAATCATTAGAAGAAAGAGTTTCTTCTAAAATCATAAAGAAAAATTATCCATATTTGATGTAAATTTTAGATATAATCATAAACTGTAAAAAGGGAGATATTGAAAAAAATTTGAGAAATAAGGATGATTGAAAACCAGAATCTTCACAATCTAGAATTTTTTTTTTTTTAATCTACTTGGGATATATTGAAGTTTCTTCGTCAAAATGTAGTGTACACCTTGATAAGATTTTGTAAGTGAAACATGTGGTAGTTTTTTTTTTCTTATAGGGCCTGATCCTATTGGTTTGCTACATTATACGGTCCGAGACCAAGTTTCGGAATATGTTTGTCAGCAAACCGAGAACGACGAGCGACGACAAATTTTTTAGCATCGATTCGACGAGTAGCCCTTTAAATTGTAAGTAATATTAACAAACCGCAGGGTATGTTTTTAAAAGATTGTTTTGTTATTTTTTCTAAATTTTTTTTTGTTATTTTTTTTACAGATAATTTGAATCGTTAGTTAAATGTAAGTACGACATTTTTTCTTATGATTTCCTTTTTAATTTTCATATCCTTTACTTTATTATTACTCTAGATTATTTCCCCAGTCAAATGTTCTCAAAATGTGTATAAAAAGTGGATTTGGAGCTGTTATGCTCTCATTTTTATGCAAATGTATTAATATTCACTTCGAGCTTTTTCTCACTTTTAATTTTTTTGTTTGGCTAACCTTTTCCGGTACTTAATTTTTTTTTTATTAGTGGTCACCGATGCATTTTTGATACCGATCTTATTTAATTATCAAAAAAAATTTGATTCATTTTGATAACAAGAATTATAATTTAATTTTAATGCTTTATAGAATTCGGAAACTATGTTTTTTTCATGGGAATTATTTGAACACTTAAGTTTTTAAATTCCACAAATTAGTATTTAATTTTTATTATTAAATAAACCCAATTTTATATTCAAGTGAACATCGAATGGAATACAAATTAGTTGAATCGTTTTATTCCATTTCCATTACTCTACGATACACTTAATATCGAGACGCTTTGTATATCAATTAAACATTTTTATAATTCCAGTTCTGACGAAGCAAGACGCCGAGGTGGAAAACGAATGCGGACCGCACACGAAACCCGACTGCCAACAGTTCACGTTACGTGGAAGCGAGTTCCCAAAACCGGCCGCCGTCAGCAAATCCCAGAGCATCACAGCCACCTTCGAGAGCTGCCTCCACACCAGCACCAGCTTCTGCGACAGCCACAAGGAAGGCACCTCCACGCCGCGGAGGGACAAGTCCCAACCGCCCCTCGAGCACTACAGCAGCAGCCCCCAGACGTTCAGGAAGTACCCGAACGTCACCGCCTGCTCGCATTCCCCCGACATCTTGGCCACGAAGGTGTGCGTCGAGTTGGACCTGGTAGCGTCGAGCCTGCAGAGCAGCGGCAAGCTTCATCCGATCGCGACGAACGAACCACCCAGAAGAATCGTGTACCCTCCGAAGGTGGTGATCACGCCCGACGACGCCATAGCGAAGATTCTCGAATCGGAAACGGTCGTGGTGCAATCGGACCACGAACGCACCCAACCGGACGGCCACGATGAGAGCGTCACCGTAGAGAAGGCTGTGAAGACGTTAGACGAGGGCATTAAAACGATCGAGGAGGAGGGGGATGAGGAAGCGACGACAGTCACGCCTCCCGGTAATGGAGACAAGTTGGACGGGATGTTAGACAGTATATGCCACGACTTGGATTACTTGTTGAACCGAAGCGGCGAAGTAGAGGCGGTGGCCACGTCTTCGCTTAGGAGGGTGTCAAAACCGCCCGGTGCCAGCGTGAAACATAGGATACCGGAAGAGTTGTTGAAGGACGAGACCGTTAACATACCCGAGAGTATTACTTTGAGGACTAACTGTTGAGTTGCTTAAAGGTATTTTTTGTGTAACCGTTACAGGGAGGATTGATTGAATTTAAAATGTTTACTTTGGTAATTGTTTACAAGGTGCTGGTAAAATGATGTGCAGCTGTGGACAATAAAATGTTTCCAATCTAAATCAGTGAAATGTTGAAAGTTTGATAATTAAGCGACTTTATGATCTTAAGTTTTAGGGAATTTTGTCACCAGCGAAAAAATTTAAGAAAACAATTACTCTTGTGACAAGATCAATCAACGGTTATTTTTATGAAAATAGTTCTGCTTAAGCAAAAGCCTCACACATGGTGGGGTCAAGGTAGCTTAAAATTACGCATTATTTCGAAATAATTACGGGAAGCATGGATTTTCCTAAAACCTTTTGAAATTACTTGGAGATAAGTATTAGAAAAAAGTTATAAACTTATTTTTGTACGCTGATTGTTTTTTAATTGTTTAAACAATAATAAATAGATTTTTTAAGAACATTTAAAATAATTCAATGAATTTTAAATCGAATTCTTTCAAATTGACAATATATGGCTTTTCGATGTCGCTGAACAAGAATATGATGTCGGAAAATGAAAATTCAAAATGGCTGATCCAATGTGGCCGACTATTATAAACAATTTATGTAACAATTATCGATTTTAAAGCAAACTCGCTAAAGAGGTTTTATTGAAAATTATGTTTTATTTTTTAAAAAACATTTATTACAAAATAATTAATTTTTAAATCTCATCGAGTTCTTGCTGTTCTTCAAAATTAACTGTGTTATGAGAGGTAATGCACAATTATTGGATAAAATTCATTTTCATTTTCGAAGAACTAATGCTTGCGTTTAAGAACAAGGAAGTAACTTTGAGCATTTACTGTAATATTATTTTAATGTGATTACAAATATTAATTTAGGTTGTACGCTGTTAAAAAAGAACATTTTCACTGTGTTCACTTTAGTTTTATGCAATAAACTATAACCCCACTTGAATATCAGACGAATTACAAACTGGCAATCTTGGCGGACACAATATTAGTCTATTTGCGGTCTACCCACCTGCTGGAAAATTTATTACCTAGATAATTCCACATTTTACGTTTAAAATGAGGTAGAATACTGTTGTGTAAAAATTAATGGATTTGTCTTATATTTAAGGGCGCATCTTTAAATAATTCAAACAAGTTATTCTGTGAAAGGTATATACAGGGTAGGAAAGTACCGATGGTCTATCTGAAGTTACGTGAGAGCGATAAAGTAAGCCATAGAAATCCATGCGATAGAGAAGGATGGCTATAATGAAGGCTTCTCTTTGTCACCGCCCGTTTTGCCCTTCCACAAATAAGATCCACTTCTTATTTGTGGAAGGGCGAAATGGGCGTTGACGATTAGACGCCTTCATTGTAGCCATCCTTGTCTATCACATGGATTTCTATGGCTTACTTTATCGCTCTCACGTAACTTCTGATAGACCATCGGTACTTTCCTACACTGTATAGTCTAAACCAGTCATTTGGTTTGGAAATATAAAAGAGTCGGTAAATATACCGTTAATAATATCAACGCAAACATGTAGAGAAAATTTTTGTTGAAAATTTGTTTGCCAAATAACTTGTTTGTTTTGGAAATTATTCATGCGAGTAAAAGTTGCCCCATTCATTACTAGAACAAATTTGGGGAAATTTGCTTGTCATAGGTCAGCATGTCTACTGTGATTTTCCTATAAGTGTACTGTTTCTCCATTTTAAAAACGAAAATAACCGTTCGACATTTATCGAGGTCACAGGCGCATATTTAAAATAGCCGAAGTTTTTAATATATGCTACTTTATTAAGAACTTTACATTTTAGTGATCCCACTATCCGCGTCATTGTTCAATAATATGTACTTATATGTCTACATCTGATCTGAAGCTTCGCATCGATCAATTTATTCGATGCGTATTTAGCGGCACCCTAATGCCTGCCTTGTGCGCTTGGAGTGCCGGTGAACAATCTAGGTTTTTTTGCTGAGACGTTGGCCGTGTATTTTATTGTCGTTTGTGGGTGTGGGAGCAAAACGTCAAACTCACTCGAGTTTGACGTTTTGCTTGGTCGAGTGTATGGCACGTGTTTTATGGCATTCAGTATCATTGTGTATTGTGAGTATAGAGCGGCACACGACTGGACCACAGATTTAGCGTATTGTGCTACTACACCAGGTATTGCCGCCTACTAGCATAATATAATTTACTACTATTTATTTATCTGACTGTCACCACAAAGTTTCCGATGTCTNCATTGTTCCTTGAAATTCAGAAGTGCCAGGAAAACGCGTGACCTTGAAAATTTTAAAATTTTTAGCCTGCGGCGCCATTTAGAGACTCCGGGCACTTAATATCCCGGAATTCAATTCAACAAATGTAACAACCCTAAGCAGAACACATTCAATCAATGCTCACGCGCCGCCACTGTTTACAACTATAGTTTTTGGTCTATAAAGTATGGCCTAAAAAATCAAATTTGTGATTTTTTAAAATTATTGAATATGTTGGGCTCAGTATTTTTCAATTTAAATTTTTAAGATTTTTTCATATCGCTCACGGTTTCAATCGTCATTTGAAGAGTAATCTGTGAAAGTTACAGATATTTATTTTAAAAATTAAAAGAATGACGGCTATTTTATTATTATTGTACAAAATTATAGAATAATGTAACTTTGTATAGGTACTATAATATACAGGGTGTTCCTAAATAAGTGTNGTCATTTGAAGAGTAATCTGTGAAAGTTACAGATATTTATTTTAAAAATTAAAAGAATGACGGCTATTTTATTATTATTGTACAAAATTATAGAATAATGTAACTTTGTATAGGTACTATAATATACAGGGTGTTCCTAAATAAGTGTCGCAACGGAAAACTGTAAATTCCTCTTGAGAAAAAGAAACATATTTTTCCTCTTCCATTTTTCTCTCCGGGCTTTTGTTTTCGAGATACACGGTATCAAAACTAATTTTTTTTTTAGTTTTTTGCCAATATCTTAGGAATCGTTTGAACTACAGGACTGAGCTTTTGTACACACATTACCACTACTTTTACTTACTACCTTACTACTTTTTCGCACCCTTCTCGAATTAAGTCATTGGACGTGCCAGTGGTGGAGATTTTAAGGTACCGTAAGGGCTTTTTCCCCCCTAAATTTTATGCCACTGGAAAATTGACTTTTGACAGCAAATTCTAAAGCGCCAATGAATTGGCGCTTTAGAACACAATAAGAGTTCTCTTGGTTCATTGCTCTAAAGTCAACCGTTTTCAAGAAAAATTACTTTTTATGAACAAAAGCAAACATTTTTGCTAACGTTCCATGTCAATACTATCGAAAAGTTGACCGATAGAGGTGAAGCCGCAGCGGCAGAAAGAAACANTTTTTAATTGTTTAAACAATAATAAATAGTTTTTTTAAGAACATTTAAAATAATTCAATGAATTTTAAATCGAATTCTTTCAAATTGACAATATAGGGCTTTTCGATGTCGCTGAACAAGAATATGATGTCGGAAAATGAAAATTCAAAATGGCTGATCCAATGTGGCCGACTATTATAAACAATTTATTTAACAATTATCGATTTTAAAGCAAACTCGCTAAAGAGGTTTTATTGAAAATAAGTTTCATTTTTTAAAAAACATTACAAAATGATTAATTTTTAAATCTCACATTTACAGGTTTAGCATCAATGTCAAGAAAATGAATATAAATATCTTAAATGCATACTGCAAAAAATTTTTTGTACATTAAACTTTATTTAACAATAAATTTCACGGATTTTTCATGAAATATTTGTATTTTTTGTTATTTTTTGTTTTTTCAACTATTTGAATTTTTTTAAGAAAAATGAAATGCACCATCTTAAAGTAGAGATTTTAAGGTTTAAAAAGTGCTCTCATAAAGTTTCAATATCACATTTACAACTAACTATAGCTTTTGATCTATAAAGTATGGCCTAAAAAGTCAAATTTGTGATTTTTTAAGATTATTGAATATGTTGGGCTCAGTATTTTTCAAATTAATTTTTTAAGATTTTTTCCATATCGCTCACTGTTTCAATCGTCATTTGAAGAGTAATCTGTGAAAGTTACAGATATTTATTTTAAAAATTAAAAGAATGACAGCTATTTTATTATTATTGTACAAAATTATAGAATAATGTAACTTTGTATAGGTACTATATATACAGGGTGTTCCTAAATAAGTGTCGCAACGGAAAACTGTAAATTCCTCTTGAAAAAAAGAAATATATTTTTCCTCTTCCATTTTTCTCTCTGGGCTTTCGTTTTCAAGATACACGGTATCAAAACTTTAATTTTTTTAAAGTTTTTCGCCAATATCTTAGGAATCGTTTGAACTACAGGACTGAGCTTTTGTACACACATTACCACTATTAATAGCTACTTTTTCGCACCCTTCTCGAATTCATTGGACGTGCCAGTGGTGGAGATTTTAAGGTATCATAAGGGCTTTTTTCCCCCTAAATTTTACGCCACTGGAAAAATTGACTTTTGACAGCAAATTCTAAAGCGCCAATGAATTTTACACAATAAGAGTTCTCTTGGTTCATTGCTCTAAAGTCAACCGTTTTCAAGAAAAATGACTTTTTATGAACAAAAGCAAACATTTTGCTAA